AGCACAGCAGAAGGGGATAGGAGGAGCATCGCCCACGTCCGAGCACGAGCACGGTGCCGAGGTTGTCCCCGAAACGTAGATGACGGAGACCAAAGGAGGCCTGGGCCCTTGTGATATGACGAGATGTCATGTTCGAAGCCCTCCCCTCGATAATAGTGATGGGCTCCTTGACGTGAACCCTGGCCGAGACCACCTGCTTCCACCGGGGGCCCTGCAGAGCCTGTACGGGCACCTCTGTGAACTGCGGGTTGAGCTCCCAGGGGTCCTTGACGAGGTCCACGCTGGTGCTCTTGGGGGCCTTGACGGTCTCGATGTCGCTGAAGACGTCGAACGGCCCCTCCGAGGCCTCGTGGCCTCCAGAACGGACTCCCAGAGCAGAGCGGCGTGCCGAGATAGCCGAAGGCACGCGATATCTCCATCTCTCACTGACTGACCCGATACGTTTGACAAGATCTGATGACAGTGTTGTCTGGCACGTCGCCATACCCGTCAAGCAAGCGTCGTAAGCGAAGACCGTCGGCGACCACTGAAGCCGAAGGTTAGCAGACATCAGCGGCAGCAGGCGACGGCACTGCTCGACTTCGCGGGCAGCTGAGGGCCAGAGACGGGCTCGCACGTGATAGCAATCTCTGACGAAATCATACAAACTCCTGAGGATCGAGAGCAGCTCCCTCTTCAGCATCAAATGATCAATGAGATGACCCACGTACCTCTCCACCTCCCTCCCCGTGACTCTAGGGCGCTGCTCTAGCCACAGTGAAGCTTGGCGGAGGCGCTCGGAGCGCTCGGGCCGTGAGAAAACTCGCCCAGACGCGCCGTCGATCAGACGGCCGAGGCTGGTGAAGACGTCAGTGGCCTCGACCACCTCGTGAATCTGCACGCCATGCTTCCTCCAGGCGTCGCAGATCTGGTGCATCAGGACATTGCATCTGACAGGGTCGGTGCCGATGACGTTGATGTTATCGCAATAGGGGAGGAGGCAAGGGACCCCCCCGTCGAGCGGGGGCACCGGACCGTGATCGGTCAGCACCCGCGGGAACCCGAGCCCCGAGGCAGAGCAGCAGACGTGCGCATTCGCACGCTGCCCAAGCCAGAAAGCCCAAGACCAGCCCATCGGAACGACCCGCAGGAACGGCCACACCCAGCCCCCTGAGGGGCCCTCGGGAGTGTCCACTGCCTCAACCCCCCATTGCGACAACGAAGCCTGCGACACCGGCGGCAGCGAGAAGAACAGCCCCAGCTCCTCCCTCAGGCCGACAGCGTAGAAGTAGTTGCGCACATCAGCCTGGGCGCAGAAGAGCTTGGTGCTGAAGCTGCCGTCCTCCTTACGATCATCAGGTAGCTGTAGGCGACCGTGCGCAGTCGATGCCCCCATGGCCAGCGGCGGCGGGTCGCGAAAACGTCGATTTGGCACTCTAGCGTCCCAGACGAGACGCTGTGCTCCACTCTTCTTGGCCACGAAAAAAGGGGTGACTAAATCCTTTGGGCGGTACGTGAAACCCAGCATGTTAGCCTTCACCAGGTCGCCGATGAAGGTGTGGTATGCCACAGGGTCACGCTTCAAAACCTCGTCCATGTAGGGAGTGACGGGCGGCTCGCTATCCAAGACGCGGGACCACTCGTCAGGAGTCTTCATCATCGCTTGCTCGTAGTCCAGCACGTAGCTCCTCCCGATCCCGTCGAGCACCGACTCAACAGGAGGTATGACCGCACCCACTTCTGGGATGTCGACTCGGGATCTGACGTACCTTACCACGGGACTCGGTGCCTCGTCCGCGGTGTAGGACAGGCTGGAGGCCAGGAGCTCCTTCGCGGCTCCACGGCGAGAGAAGTGAGTGTCAGACTTCGGGGCCATCCTGACCTCGTTCAAAATGGCGGCGGTAGCGAGTCGCTGAGCCGCCGTGATGGGCCCACGCTGCTCGCACGGAGGATGGAGAGCGTTGAGGCCCGCAATGGCATCATTGGCACACTGCTCCGTCTGCCGCCTATGGGCCAGCCTTCGCCTCGTCGACGTAGACGCTGGCGCAGAAGTAGGCGGAGCCGGCTGAATGGAGGGCAGCGGGAACAGATCACGCTGGCGATCGTCTGCTGCACTCAACCCAGGAGGGCGTCCCATGTCACGCGATCCTCGGACGGTCGGTACCTCGCGATCCCCGAGGCCTGCCCTGGCTGGAGGACGCGAGGTGCGTGCCGCTGGGCCCCCACGGCCACAGCCGGTCGGTGCCCCACGACCCTCAGCGCCAGGAACAGTGCGAGGACGGAAGGTGCGTGCCGCCGAGGCACCACAGGCCTTGTGTACGTCGCGGGCCGGCCAGCCCCCGCGACTGGGAGCCGTCATGATCCCTGCCCGCCAGTACCGCTGGCGTCGGTCCTGCCGCCCCCCTTGCCGCGGCGCAGCTTCTGCCCCTCCTTCGCCTTGCGAGCCTCCTTGAGGATCGCTGCCCTGTCGCGCATGCCCGCTGCCACGTGGCGCTGCAGGTCGGGCGCGACGGCGGCGCCCTGGCGATGAGTGGCCCAGCCCATGAACTCGTCGGCCGCGGAGTAGTCTGGTTTCGAGGGAGAGGCCGAGTGAGCGTCTTCGATGACCTGGATCCTGCGCACGACGAGCTCGGCGCTCTGGAGCGCAGGGGCGTTGAGCTGGTCCACGGTCACGATTGCCTCCAGCACATGGCACAGCACCTCGTGCTCGTGAACTGAACGATCTCCATCAGGGATGCGAGCCGACCTCAGCCAGTTAGAGTGGTGAGTGACTGGCGTGAGCCCGGCATCCCGATACGACCTCAGCACCCAATCCGTAGTGCGAGGGCCCTGCAGCATGATGCCGCCCTCAGGCTCATCCACGATCTGCATGTCCACGGCCTCGCTGTATGGGCGACGGCGCGCCCCCTGCTGGTTGAAACGCACGGGCAGCACGCGTAGGTCGTCCACGACGAAGGCGTCCACGTCGGCTAGGGCCACCTGGCGCGCTCCGACGAAGCCCCCTCCATGAGGCACCAGCGCCAGCTCCCCGTGAACGACGGCGCCCTGAGGGAGAGGATTAGGCATCTGCTCGCCGCGCCGCATCCCCTGGAAGTCCTCGATAGCCAGCCACACTGTGCCAGCCAACGCGGGGGCGGCCGCGGCTCCAGCGCGGGGGACCCCTCCCACCACGCCAGCGCCTCGAGGCACGACGGCCCCCTGTGGTGCGGCCGCCGCGGGAGGAGCCGCCACGGGCGCCGCTGCGGCGGCAGGAGCAGCGGCAGCAGGCGGCGCCACCCCCCCGACAAGGAGCGAGCCCTCGCGGATCAGCTGCTGGACCTCGGCCGCCGTCGGCACCTGGCGGAAGCGGTAGACGTGGGCGGGGTTGACACCAGGGGGGGTGGCGCCCTGCGCTCCTGACCACCGCACATCTCTGAGGTCGTCGGACGTCGTGTACTCTGCGTAGTGGTCCCCATCTGGCGAGTACGTGCTGACAAGACCTGGATCCCCGATCGAGACCCCTGTCACGAGCCTCTCATGATACACCGGCGCTCCAGGCAGGTCATACTGGAAGAGCACGTAGTCACCTACCCTCGCCATTGCGCCTCCTGATCAGCTGCAGCTGCTCTCGCGCTCGATCTCCCACGCCTGTCGCCTCGGCGTCGACGCGGCCGCCCCGCCGCCAGACTGCACCGCCCAGCCCGAGCCCCGCAGAGACTCCCGCCAGGTATCCCCAGCAGGCCGAGGGAATGTCGAGCCCGTCAGGGACGAGCTCCACTCCTGCAGGCGGGCAGGAGAGATTCACCAGCGGCACGGGGCACGCTGGGGTGGGGCAGGCCAGCGCTGGGCAGACCTGGACGGGGCACGAGACGTTCGCGGGCGGGCACGCCAGCGAGACCGCGGGGCACTGGGGCACCGCCGAGATCAGGGATTGGCGCAGCGCCAGCAGCTCGAGAGCACGGATCCCTGCGGACTGGAAGGTCTCGATGAGGGCGGACTGAGCCCCCATCAGGGAAAACCTCTCCCGGAAAAAACTTGAGCATAAGTACAACATACGGCACTGAACGCAGCAAGAGATCATTAATGTGCAAGCACAACGCATACATACACACACATATATATACACATACACATACATATACACATACATTTACACATGCACATACACATACATATACATATACATGTACATGTACATATACATATACATATACATATACATATACATATACATATACATATACATAGACATGGACATAGACATAGACATAGACATAGACATAGACATAGACATAGACATAGACATAGACATAGACATAGACATAGACATAGACATAGACATAGACATAGACATAGACATAGACATAGACATAGACATAGACATATACATATACGTATACACATACACATACATATACATACACATATACATTTGTTTTTGCCGAAGCGAGCTCCCACTGCCCTGCACAAATACATTCAAAAAACGAGAGGCACCCTACAGGCAGGAACGAGGAACACACCGCAAATACAGCAGCCTCAATCACGCTGTCGCGTCTACAAAATCCCTTACAATTCTCAGAGGTTGCTCACCCGTGCGTGCTAGAGTTAGATCTAAACGAGGCCGGCAGCAGCTCGGCGGCCTGGGTTGAAAAATGGCGAGGCGACGGCCAGCGGGAAGCCCGTGCATCAAAGGGGGCTGCAAAAGGACGAGGCGGAGACGAGGTGGAGGAGGAGGAGGAGGAGGAGATGGAGGAGCAGCCATGAGAGCGGAAAACCGACTCGGGTGAGCTGGCGAAGGCACTTCGCGGTGCAGCCACAGCTGAAAATGAAGGCATAGATGAGGAGGAGGAGGAGGAGGAGATGGGAGAGTCGGCTAGAACAGGAGTAGCTGATCTAATGAAACTCGCGCGTGATGAAACAGACTTGCGGGCCCGTGGAAATAGCTCTGGACAGTGCCCGGCCCGCTACACGGAAAACGCGTCTCGGCCGAGTGGGTCGACCTCGCACGTCTGCCCCGCGTCAGGCTCTGGGCCGGTATCGGCTTAGAGCCTCTCGAAGCGTCGCACCTCGATGCAAACCCCGGCCACCTCGTGGGCGGGCTCCGCCAGGGCGCGGCGCGCCGCGTCGGCGCTGGCCATCACTACGAAGCCGAAGCCCGACGGCCGCAGGCGCTGCTGCGGCCCGTCCTGGCGATCCTCTACGCCCGAAAGGAGCACCTCATCCACTGGGCCGAAGCGCTCGAAGTGCGCCTTGAGGAGCTCGGCTGAGCCGAAGCCCAGGCGACCTATCTTGCGCACCCGCACCACCAGCAGCGGGTCAAGGAGGTCTAGCTTCTTCAGCTGCGTGGCGACTTGAAGCAAGTTGCGCCTGCGCCCCATCCTCTGGCGGCGCCCGCCGCCCTCGGCGGCCGAGCCGCCGGCAGCGGCGGCGCCCTCGACGCAACGAGCGTCCCAGACGCCCGCGGCCGCGGCGCGCCCCGCCGGCCGAAGCCGCCGCCTCGGGCCGCTCCAGCGGCCAGGCGGGTGGCGTGGGCGCGGGCGCCCAGGGCACGGCGCCGAGGAGCGCGGCGGCGGGCACCCGCACCCTGTAGCAGGCGCCAGACGAGCTGGAAGTCTCGGCCCCAACGCACGCGCACGCGCCGCCCGGGGCCAGGCAGATCTCGGCGCTCGGCTCCAGGACGGGTTCCAAGTCAACGAGCGCCTCGGTGGCCAGCCGCACGCCCCCGCCCCGCCGCGAGGAGCCGGTCCCGCCAGGGAGCCGCTCCGTCGCGACCTCCTCCGCAAGGATGTCGTCCGGCATGCTCTCCACGAGCAGCCTGGAGGCGAAGCGGACGCCGTTCGCGGCGTCCATGGGGGCTGCCCGGCGCGCAGGGTGCGAGGCTCGGCCCCCTAGACAGGAGCATCTGGGCAGGCGCGGCCAGAGCCAAAACGGCTTGAGCCAAAATGGCTACGGACAAATATACACATATACATATATGATATATATATATATGATATATATATATATATATATATATATATATGTATATATATGTGTATATATATATATATATAAGAGAGAGAGCATGATCCACCGCCGCTTTACTGCGGAAAATTGCCCACCTTTTCCTCCGGAACCCGGGGGTCTCCCCCCCCCCTCCGAAAATCCCCCCCCCCCCTGCTGGAACCCCTCCCCCCCCCCCCCCCTCCCTCCCGGCAAAACCCCCCCTCCCCTAAACCCTCCCCCCCCCCCTCCCCCTCGAAAACCGGGGGGGTCACTACCGTTCGAACCCCTCCCCCCCCCCCCCCTCCGGATCCGGAAAACCGGGGGGGGTCACTACCGGTTCGCCTCCCCCCCCCCCCCTCCGGAAAACCGGGGGGGGTCACTACCGGTTCGACCCCCCCCCCCCCCACGCACCGCCAGCAAACGACTCCCGGTCCCTACCACCGCTCGCATGACATCCCCCACTGTTGTTCCCAGCACCACTGTCCTCACCACCACTGCCCCCGCTGGTTCCACCACCGTCCCTATTGTCCCCACCAGTGCCCCCACCACTGTCGCACTGTCCCCACTGTTCCCACAACTGTTCCCACCACGGTTCCACTCTCCCCACTGTCTCCACGGACCCAACCACTGCCTATCCCCACTGTCCCCACTGTCCCACTGACTCCTCCGCTGTCCCACTGAGCTGTCCCACTGTTCCCACCACTGTCCCCACTGTCCCCACCACTGTCCCCACTGTACCTCTGTCCCATTGTCCCACCGCCGTCCTCGCCGACGCCTTTACCAGTGTCCCCACCACCATTGTACCCTCCACTGTCCCAGTGTTTCCACCTCATTCCCACTGTCCCCACACCACTGTCCCCACCACCACCGTTCCCACCACTGTCCACTGTCCCCCCTGTTCCCACCATTGTCCCCACCACTGTCCCCACCACTACCGTCCCCACCGCTGTCCCACTGTCCCCCCACTGTCCCCACCACTGTCCCGCTGTCCCCTCACCACTGTCCCCACCAACACCGTCCCCACCACTGTCCGCACCCCCACTCGGTTTTCGAGGGGGGGGGGGGGGGGGGTTCGAACCGGTAGTGACCCCCCCCCCTTTTCATGATGAGCTGGGGGGGGGGGGGAGGGGTTCGAACCGGTAGTGACCCCCCCCGGTTTTCCGGAGGGGGGGGGGGAGGGGTTCGAACCGGTAGTGACCCCCCCCGGTTTTCCGCCAGCAGCGGTAGAACACGCTCTTTCATATATATATATATATATATATATATATATACACATAAACATAAACATATACATATACACGAATATGCAACCACACATGCGCACAGGAAGCCTGAGAAAATGAATCGCCCAACGATGGTAACTCAGTTGCAGTATAAGCGGTCGCGCCCAGGCAGCGCGTCGAATAAATTGCCACCATGACTTGAGGAAGAGGGACGAGGAGACGGGGAGGAGAACGAGACGGAGGATGAGGAGGCGGAGGAGACTGCCAAAACACCAAGAGCAGCGTCCAAGCCAACCTGCCGCAGGCGAGTCGTCGCGCGGATCCGGGGTCCTGAGAGATGGCAAACATGCAGATTAGCACTCCAGAGCCCAAGCTCTGTGAGCGACCACGCAATAGGTAGAGTTTCAGCACATACTACAAGAGAAGAGGAGGAGAAGGTGGGAGAGGAGGAGGAAGAAAGGAGAAGACCCGTGGACGTGAACCGGAGGGCCAAAAACGCATCCACGTGGACATGCCGTGTACTCGGATTCGGGCACTTCCAACGAAGCGACATTCACCATGCAAGCGCACCGGCGCTACGCGGTGAGCAGGAACAGGAGGAGGGGCCGAATGTAATAGAAGGGCTGAGGCGCCCGCGACCCCAAGTCAGCGGGAATCGAGCCGCGCGACATGATGAGATATTAACTTCAACGCGCCTTCGATGAAACGAAAAGGTTCTGAAAACACGCACGCGTGTGTACAAGCACAAGTGCATGCGAACCAACGCGCGCACGCACTTCGGAGGCAAACTTGGGGGCCACAGGTGGGCGCCACACATTAGGGGACATACGCCTGGGATGCAATTTGCGGCATGTTTAGTGGCGCGCACCACCTTCCCCACCCCCAGCACTCTTATGCGCAAGCGCAGAGTGCGATGTATGATTTACTGGTAGTGACGCGCCTTCGCCCCGACTGGACATCAGGAGAGTAAATCGCCCGAAAGCGCCCAACTGAGGCCTGAGAGGAGCACAACAAGGCCCCAACTGACCCCCAAGCCAATAATGTTATGCCTATCTAGCGTCATGTTAGGCAAACGTGTCATGGAATTTATCAGTTACTATGTTTGTCGAAATTCTTCTTCTAGTAGCTCACGAGGAGCTAACTTCCCACTGCGATCTGGTGAATACATGGCTGGGTAAGTCCGTGAAGTCGAGTTACTCTATGCAAAGGTGTGGTGTGTCTGTGCACGCGCGCGCGTGGCCTGCCCGCCTGGCCAGCCGGCGCGCGCTTTTGCTCGGGTAACTATACGCAGCTGCGAAAACAGTCCCTCCGCGCGATCCATGCCCTACCGACGCGCTGCAAGGGAAAAGAGTGGAGGGCTGCAGGAATCGGCGAACGCAGCGCTAGTAATGACCACCCCCCGCGGCCACCCGGCGCGACGTTCACGCCGGGGCGGACGTCAGCACATTGGCCGACATGCCGAACAGCCTTCGGCAAGACCCGAGAGCGTCGGACAGACTTCGCCCTGCCCCCAGGGCCGCGCTGGGCCCCCCGCAGCGCCAACCCCAAAAATACTGTCACGGCGCAGGCGGCAGGGAAGGGGGCGCCCCCGCCACCCCTCCGCAAGACAAGCCGAGGGCCTCCCGCCCCGCCCCAGGATTGCATCAGAGGCGCGCGCCGCCCAGCCGTCAACTCACAAAGCCACCGGCCCGTCAACGCCCTCGTCGCGCCGGCGGCTCACGCGCGCGCCACGCGGCGACCGGGGCAGACTGAGACGCCGTCTCGGCCCATCGCCCATGCCCGCCGCCTGAACGATTGGTCGCCCGCCGCCGATCGCCGCGGCGGTCGTCGCGACCAGCGCCCCGCCCCCGATCGCCGCGCGGAGCCTGCCAACCAGCCCAGCTCGAAGAGGGCGACCAGGATGTCCAACGACCAGCTGCATCAGCACGCCAGGGGGCTTGCGAAGACGCCGCTTCATCCTGCCACCACTGGCCGTAATCTCGGTGCCATGGCGCAGATGACGCCGTCGCAGCCGCCTCGGATGCCTGCGCTATCGGCGTAGGCGGCGCGGGCGTCAGCCTCGTGGCGGCATTGCCAGTCCAATCTCGGTTGGACGGCGCGTTCCTAGTCAGCCGCTGTTCGACCCCATGCCGCGGGGGCGCGCCAGGCGACGTGCGCTAATCTCTCTCAAGGGATCTGTTCATCGTGAGAAGGCCACTCTGCCGGAACGCCCACAGCGGCGCGCTCTGCTCCAGCCCCCACTTCGTAGGCTCCCACGCCCGAAGGCGCACGGTGGAGGCCTGGTCAGGAGGGCCATGACTGCTGCTGCGTTTCTGAACACAAGATGCCTCGCCACCGCGTTCATCGGCCCTCGTTGTTATGCGTTTGCTCCCCCGCCTCGGCGGCGGAGTTCGCCCGCGACGTTTGCCCCCGCGAGAGGGGGGCGCAGCGCCTGCGGCAGAAATGCCAAAACGATCAACTCCCTCATGTTCTTTGCCATTGTCATCTTGGTCGGTCGGCTGAAGAGGCCCCCGCGCGTCCATCGCACGGGCGCACATGCGATCCTCGAGGTGCTCGAGTGTAGGAAGATAATGTTCCCTGCCCCCTCCCCGCCGCCAAGCTTCCCATCCGCTCGACGGTTCGAGTGCCTCTCCATCGGGCATCCCCCACGTGAAGGGCTCCAAATATCCGAAATTCGGCCCATCGGCTCGCACATGGCACCTCAGAAATTGCCACCGAGCTTCATCAGGGACATGAGCCGCCGATCCCACGACTGGCGCTCCCACGTGCTTCTGAAAGTTGACCCAACGCTGGCCCAACAAACGAGCCTTGTTCTGAAGCCATGCATGGACCTGCGCTGGCGCCGCGTCCCCTTCCGACGTGGGCCGCCACGCAAGCGCGGTCATGGGCTGAAAAGTAAACGCAATATTGACTTGGAGAGCCAGTTCGTCTCGATTATTAGCCGTCTTTGGATCTCTCCACTTTTGCTCGGACTTGGATATGTTATTGTCAGTTGCGCGCCATTGTGTCTAAGTTGGGGGCCTCGCAATCGACGCGGGAACACTATTCCCGGTGTCAGGATCTGTTTCCATGCCCAGGAACTTCCCGAGACCCAGCACCTCCCACATAACCGCAGGACGAGGCGTACTCGGGGTTCCAAGCCTTGGCTCGCACACTGCCGGCTGCGACCA